ATTCAGGTGGGCACTCGCCCTCTGAAGTGAAGCCTGGGTCTCTCATGTTGCTTTTCCTCTGATGCAAAGCCCGTGGCTGCCGTTCAATACACAAAAGAGCGAAGTGACTGCAGTTCTGAAATGGCCTATTCATTATATGGTGGTAATGTAGTGTCTGCCATCAATAGAGACCTCTGTGTGCTTTGCCCAGGAGCATTTTATTTTGCTTCAAGGGTTTGCATCCTTTCTCCCCTGTTCCACGGTAGAGCCGGAGCTCCGGCAGCAGCTGCTTGAGCACCAAAGTGTGCTGATGGGTTCCTCATTGCACAGGGACCCACCTACGGCTCGCATCTAAAAAAAGGATGTATAAACTATCAGTTGTTTGCAATCACCTTAGGAAAGAAAACCCCAGAGAAAAACTCTCTCCACAGCATCAAATTCAGGTGACCCATCACTGTTCCCATGTCCTCTTCAGACATGTGCCATCAAGGAAGGAAGGTTGTAGCCACCTTTGGTAGGACACCACCATTCCTCAGCAACGTTGAATAATGCAGGAACCGCGTACTGTAATCCGACCAAACATTTTTGAAAAGGCAGGAGAACCAAAAGCAGCGGTGGATGAGCTTTGTCATGGCGGGGAGACTAACGCGCTGCTTGCCTGACTGCTGAAAAATGGGTTTTGGGGAGGAAAAGGAGGTGCTGAACTCCTGTCCATTGGGGAAGTGGGGGGGAGTCTGGGGAAGCCCCCGCTGCGATAACCGAGGTGGAGCGCATCTCTTGGAGCTACAGTTACGAGCTGTCTGCAGGCTCAGGCACTCAGTGGTGAACTGTAGTGTGCCTCAATACACAGCATGCTGAAGGTACCGAAAAGGGATCACTAAAAAAAAAAAAACCCCACCAAAAAAAACCAGAAAACAAACCCAAAAAACCAACCAACCAAAGAACAAACCAAAAAAACCCCGAACAAAACCCAAACCCTAATAGATTAGGTAAGTGTCCCCAGAATTGCTAAAGTGAGCCCATAGCCCCCAGTTGATTCTGAATGTACTTCTTATGCAGCAGCTCCTTTTATTTTATTTTATTTTATTTTTCTCCTTATATTGTTCTGTCTTTCTTGGCCTCTGCACCTCACTCCTGAGCAAAGCCTCCTGCTTGTGATGAAATGCTGCTGCTCTCCCCGACTCTGTCGTTTGTGCTCCTCTGGGAGAGATTAGTAGCTTAATTTATGCGAGTCCCTTGCAGTTTCTGAGATCTAAAATGTCAAGGAATTTACAATATCGCAATCCTTTATTTATCTTTCCATAATTTTAAAAAAATCCTCTTGGTCTGTTTCCGTTGAAATTTATATCCGGAGTTGGGGTTGACTTGCCTGTCGCTTTAATGGTATGTATCTTTATGGTACTGTCTTTAAAAGGGCTCTGCATGTGTATATTTGTGCTCATAGCACAGACCCGTCGGGAGAGAAGCTATTTCCTGGTTACTCTGAAAACGAGCGTTTCACGTGCTGGTTTTTTGTTGCTGTTGAGTTTTGAATGAGTGGTGCATGGGGATTAAAATCATAACTGGGCTTCCTTAAAGCACGTAAAGGAGTCCCCGAAGCTGCTCTTTGCAGGACTCCTCACATGCATTTGGCTGTCGAGCGGAGTGCCATCAGAAGCATCCTTCACGTCACGGGTGGCAGCCTGTGCCACGCAGTGCGGTGCAGAGCTTTCCACGGCCCCCGGAGTCCTTCGTTATCCCTCTGCGATAGTCATCTTCAGGAGATACGTGCTTCTCCTGGAGTACTGGAAGTTAGGAAAGCAATAAATATCAAACTCCAAATGCAGCACTGCTAACTGCACAGCATGCTTTTGCGCAACTGGTTTTGCTCTATTTCAGTTAAAAAAAAAAAAAAAGAGTAGTATTACCATTTTATGTCTTTTTGGGATTAAGTATATGGGAAGGGGCCTGTGTTGACTGCTGGATTGAATTTTGAGCTTCCCAGTGGTTGATACACTTCTCAGGTCCTTTGCTGGATAGGTGACACAACTGTGTCTGTCTTATGGATGTATTTTTTAACGATGTTGAGATGCTCCCGTGGGGAGCTCTGAGGTGCTGCGGTAGAAAAGTGGGGTAGCGCAAAGGGAAGGAAGACAGAGGGTGTCTCGTCCGGGGAGGATAGGGTCAAATCTGGGGGTTGTGAAGGGTGCTGGGGGAAAGTTTCCAGAAATAGTTGAAAGTATGTGGAGGAGATGATTTGTAGCATAGAGGCCTCTCTGCATGGGACTAAGCCTTAAATGATATAAACTGACACATCCACACTGACTTCAGTGACTTAGACCAGCTGGAGATATGGCCCAGCGTGTGCTCAAGTTCAAAGCCCTTGCTATTTCTTGTTTAATTTCCCTTTATTTCAAGGAACCCCTGAGCATCAAACAACTTGTGGTTTGTCTGGCAGCAATGCGGTGTTAATTTTTGGAGCAAATGTGTTCTGGGGAGGTGTGAACCAGGCTCCGCATTGTTTGTATGTGTGCCTGTGTGTGCCACTTGTACTGGGCAAGTGTCCTGGTGAGACTGGCTTAGCTCTGGTTTTGCAGGGTGATCTCACCCTTCACTGCGAAGGGAAAGGTACCCTGATCTCTGCAGCTTATCCACACCTTGGCTGATGTTGCCACTCTTGTTGCCGCAAAATCTCTGGCATTTTCACTTAAATTCATTACCAGTAAGCAAGGCCTAGCTCTTCTGTCACCAGAAACAAAGCTACCTTTGACTCACACATGCATCCTCTGGTAGGATAACCTTCTAATATGGTCTTAGTAACCTTCTGAGGTTTAACATCCGTCCTGATCCTCTTAGGTGTATTCTTAATGTTTTTATTCCTGTTTTTCCCCCTTTTCTGGCTTGGCTGGGTTCTGTTAGTGCATCTTGAGTTAGAAAAGCTTCAATGGCTGTGAGGATTCATGCACAGTGAGAGATCTTGAAATCTCCAGAATGGGCTCTCTCTTGCTCCGAAACCCGCTGTCTTCCTAGTCACTCCCACGTGAAGGCTGAGATCTGAGCCAGCAGGTCAGGCGGTGTCATGAGCTGCAGAAGATTAACAGTGAGAGGATACTTTATGTGTGGGATGTAAGGAGAGGACAGTGGGGTCGTGGGGGGAAGATGATGCTGAGAGGTCCTGTTCCTGCGTGCTCTGCCTGGTCGGAGGAGGGCTCTCCTGTGACTCTGGGTCCGTAACACACGTGATGTGATCTGTCTAGGCATGCGCGCACCGCTGGAAAAACATCTACTACGAGACAGAGTACATCCTGCCCCACGGCTTCTGCAACATCATTCCCCCCAACCTGCAGCCCAACGGGAGGAAGCTCTTCCCCTGCTATGAAGGTAAGGAGCGTGGGGGCCGGGAGCGGGGCTTACCCCCTTGCTCATTTTACAGCTGCTGTGTTTTCCCTTTATTTCAAAAACTATCCACAGTAACCCTCGCTACCGTTATTTTTATGGGTTTTTTTTGGTTACATACCGCTTCTTTGTGGCACTGCAGGGGTGGTGGTTGGGTTTTGGATGAAGTTGGGAGAGTAGCACAATGACTGAACGGGTCCTGTGGCTTACTGTGCAAGGTTGCACTTTACTAGAGGAATAATATATTTCTGAACGGTATTTTTGAGACAGCAGTGCTCTCTTCCCTTATGTGAATAATCAGTAGATACTGATCTGAGCTTGGCTTCTCATGCTTTGCTGTGGCACAGAATAAAAATCCTGAATTACGCTGCAATCAGGAACCAATTTGCCCATCTTATGGAAACACTTTCATTTTTCTGTTGAGATTTATCAGAGTACTAGAATGGGGCAAAAAGGGCTGCTTAACACCTTGCTCACTTTGGGAAACTTCTGCAGCAGTTTAATATAAACTGCTGCTGTGTTTCAAGTTTCTTGGACCCTGTTTGGATCCCCCGAATGTCTGGGTTTGGGGTGCACGGAGAGGGAGGGCTCCAACTCTGAGCAGTGGGTGGCTGTGCTTGTTGGTTCTGCTCCAAATCCCGAGTGTCAACATTTTAATTTTCCAGGTCTCTGGTATCGTGTTTCCTTTCCTAGAGACTTCAGAAGACAGTGTCTCCTCAGCCAAGAGCAATTAACTAAACCAGAGGCATGAGTATGTTGTTAGGAAGAAGATAGGGTATCTCCTAAGATTTCTTGGCCTTCAGAGAAGCATTTGGGGGAAAGCACTTTCTTAGTTTCTCATGTCTGTCCTGAGCATTTTCTTTCCCCTCTCACCTGTAGGAGCCTGAGAAAGCATGGGAGTTCAGAGGCCAAGATGCAGCAGGGTTTGATGTGGGCAAGACCTCTGATTTTATTTATTTATTTGCTTTTATTCGTTTCTCCCCCCTCATCCGAAGCCAGCAGCAGCCAGGCTTCCTGACATGAGTAAGTGGGAGAGGGATAAGGTGGTGGATGTCCCGGCAAGTTTCTCCGCTGCTGGTGAATGGCCATGTCCCAGCTCGGTGGCCTCTGAAACAAACTCGGTGACAGACCTGGGTCCGCTCCATGCCCGCTCTTTCTCCTGATGCAGCTCCTCACCTCCATCCAAACTTTACTTGGGGAACTGCCACCACAAACCCACGCACCTTCTGGAGATGGCACACACTCGTGCATTGAGAGATTCCCAGCCCTGAAATTGGTCATTATTTGAAATGTGAGGGGGTTTTGCATCTCTTGACCCAGTAAACTAAGCAACTGTCATGAGCACCATCCTACTGTATTTGTCCTTTTTTTTTTTTTTCTTTCTATTTTTGCTTGCGTCCTGTCAGCAAAATCAGGATAAGGCCTCACACTGAGAGTAATGCGCTGAAAATCATCTGATATTAACTTTATGGTCAACGCGCACGTGCGGGGACGCTGCTGGGGCTCCTTCCGAGCCTGTGTCGCTGCTCCTGCGCCGCCTTAAAAGCAGCTCGCCTGAAGCCATGTCGGGGAGGTGGTTTCTGGAAGAGACGAACCGCTTGTGTTTTTCTATGCGTCATGTCTTCGGAGTAAAACTGCTGCTAATCTGACAGGATATTTGCCAGGAATTGCTAGAAAATAGAAATGTGTGGGCCTAGTACACGCAGAGCAGCCAGTGGAAAGTTGGCAGGGCTGGTGCAGTACGATGTTGGCTTCTCAAATCACAAAGTATGAAGAGGGATGGCTGCGTTTGTTTACTCCTGGGTCTTTTAGGTTTCAATAGAAGAAGTTCAAAGAGAGGGATAGCTGTGGTACGTCACGCAGAGGGATTCGTTGTTTGAGGTTTGCTGTGAAATAAGATTGCAGTCGTCCCTGTAACTTTTTTTTCTGTCACTTTCTGGAAGCAGCAGAAGAAATTCTCCTCCACTGACGCTGAGGAACAGCCCAAAGGGGAGAAGCACGAGTCTGATCGGGATAATAAACGCGGTGTGTAATGCAGCTGAAGTGCCTCTGTGCCCATCACCGGGAGGCTGCCAGGCCCACGGCGCAAACCCTGCACTGGGGAGCGTGCCTTCGCCGGCCAAGGTCCTGGCATCTCGGCCTTCTCCGGGACTTGCCATGTGTGAATGGGTGCAGGCAGTCGCATGCTGGTTTCCAGAAGCCCCGTCATTAGCACAGCTAAGGTGATAAGGCTGGTGCGGCCGCACGGTCCACAACCAGAGCTGACTCTTGCCTAACTGGTGAAGGGTGCAGGCCAGTTGAGTGCTCCCTAGTCTCCATCCGTCTGTGTGTGTGTGTGTGTGCACCTTCAGATGGATTATTTGCTTGTATAACAAGTCTTGTGCCAGAAAGGGAGAGGAGTCTGACCTTGGGACCGATGTACTTAATGCATACGGTTAGTTTTCTCTCCACATAAAGCAGGCTTAATAATTAAAGGAGGAAATGGAAATTTCCTGATGGGATAGTAGTGGTGCAACAACATAGTAATTTCAATCCATCTTATTCTTGTCTGGCTTCCCTGAAAGGGCTGACAGAAGTCTGGAAGCGATTGAGAGCTATTGAGAACAGCAGCAAACCTAATAGTTAAATGCAGTCTCTCTGAGTAGGAACTAATCTGGTTTATGTGAGCTGGAGGTCCTTTGTGGTATAGCTGTCGTATGGGGCCACAGTCTTCCAGGCAGTGCTTTCACTTGGTTATTTTTCCCGTAGTTCTAATGGCCTTCCAAAAATCGGGAGCTGCCTATTCATTCCCCTGATGCATTCAGTTTGCAAAGAAGAGTAGCTGCATCCATTGTGAGAAGCAGCCCAGCTGATGGAGAGAGCTGGGATGGTTTCCTACTCCTCTGCGGTAGGCGTTGGTGGTGGAGGTGGGGAACACTGATGGACCCTTTGGTTAGTAAATAAGGGGAACAGCACATGCTCACATGCCTTGTCTCCAAAGGGACAAGCAAGTTTTCCCACAGCGTCCAGACCACATTTGGTTTTGTGGGAGCTGTGAAAACATCCCTGCTTTGTGGTGCAAACCCAATACCACAATACTAGGTCAGAAGGATTACTACTGTTTCTTCCTAGAGTAGTGAAACACTCTGGATGGGAAGGAAGATGCTTCCAGTGCAAATGATAGTTTACTGTAACTGTCCACTTTGCTTCCATCTGTGAAGATGGTAGATGCAGGATTTTATTGCACTCTGGAGCTTATGCTCTGTTACAGCATTGAAGTTTGCTTAGAGGCTTTTAGAGGTTCTCAGAGAAGAAGTTGAGGAGCATTTGCCTTCAGAATCATCACACATCACAGCTTATCCTTTTTGTTTGTGTATTGTTTTATACAATTACTTCTTCCTCAGCCTTACTTTGTTCAAAACCTGAGATCATCATGGCTGCAAACTACTACTAATTTACTCTTCTCTTTTTTGCTTTATGTATTTATTCATGGCACATCTTCAAGGTTGCAGAGACAGCCACCTCCTCCAGACTCAGCCTCATCTTGCTGCTTTGCTATCAGCTGTTGCCGCAGCATTTAGTTAAGTGGCTTGTGGTCTGTGTAATTGGGGGTGCACAGCACTCTGCGGGCAGATGAGAAAGAACAATGAAGTATAAAAACAAAGGATCTGTTCATGACAGCAGTTATTGCCTGGAGCTGCGCGGAAACTACCAAATCTACTGTGTGCAATATCGAGAACTCATGCAAATGTTGCTATTCAGGTGTGCAAAAGCTGTGAGCTGACACAGTAACTGCACAATTTCCTGCCGGTTGATCATTTCACTGCATTGATGGATGGAGAGCAGTGTCGTACGAGTGACAGGTGTCACTACTGTGCACTGAAGTGGAGGGAGGGCAGAAGCAATCTTGGTTTTCACGCCTTTTGGGCTCTGCTGCTGCTTGGGAGAGGCAGATGGGCTCTAGGGAGGAGGCAGAAGTCTGTGATGCTGGGACATGACTGTCCAGGGTTGGGGGGCTGTGCTGGGCTGTGACCATGGGTACGTGGGTGGAAAGGAGCCCGGCTTGGGCTTGGATGGGGTAGGGGGTACACCGCTGCAGATGGGAGATAGGTGGGCTGATGAGGAGAGCTGGTTTTGTGCTGAAAGGGTTATGGTGGAATCCAGGAGCCCAGCGTCTGTCCGGACTGGGCTGCTGGCTCCTGGGGGAGGACTGTGTCTGTCTGGATCCATCCTCCTAAATGTGGTGCTGACCTCTGCTCTGTCAGTGGAGCTTTAAATGCTTGAATAGCCTCAATGTCTGGGGTGTTTGGGCCTCTCTGCTTTGATTTCCTCTTGCAAAATGTCACCAAAGCTGTTTTCTCTCTCAGAGGTGTTAGGAAAAGAGGTTAGTCAGTACGTGTGACTTCCTCAGATCCCGTAATGATAGGATGGAATCTTGAGACCTGTAGGGATGAAGGACAGTGATTGCTTTGCATTGTTGCTGTGTGTCATGCTGCACTACTGTTATGAGTCCATTTATTCTTCTGTAAGCTCTATTTTTTTTTTGTCTGAGAAGTATTGTCAGATATTTATTCGAGTCAAAATGTTTTAATGTCTTTTCTTCAGTTCACAGAAGCACTGATTATATTCAAACTCTGAATTTACTTGAAATGGTGCACTCCCATCTATCCACTGTTAGAACCGAAGTGTAACTAGTTACTTAAATGAAATGTAGGGCCATTAGTTTGAGCAGATAGTACTGGCAATATAAGTGACTTAGAAACTCCGAACATGACATAAAGCCATGAACAATATCTGTGAAAGTACGAGCTTCAGTTGATGTACCAACTCAGTTTATTGTACAACTGTTTAAACCATCAAATCTTTCCCATTCCTTATGCATTGCAGTTAATAATAATTCAGTTCACTTAAAGAGTAATTGTTTTTTCATTGTCAGGCAATGAAAACAATAATGTGTGTGTTTTTGTTCCTTTTCTAATACACACACTGCTGTTGAAAATCAACTGATTTTCAGTCCTCTGATGTTGGGACTTTTGTTTCAAGTTACTCCGCGATCTGAATTTGGTATTTTTTTTTTTTTTAAAGTAGGCAAAATTTATGTTATAGTGAATTAAATAAGCTTTTTGACTTGATTGAAGAAATGGTTTAATTTTTGTGCATGTATTGTTTTATCAGAAGAAAGTCCTCTGTTTATTCTAAGAAACGAAGCAATTTTCCTGCGGTTGTGTTTAACAAACATGCAACATAGAATCACAGAATGATTTGGGTTGGAAGGGACCTTAAAGCCCACCCAGTTCCAACCCCCTGCCGTGGGCAGGGACACCTCCCACCAGAGCAGGTTGCTCCCAGCCTGTAACCATGGCAGGTGTGGGGCCAGCCACAGCTTCTCTGGGCAACCTCTGCCACTGCCTCACCACCCTCCCCGGGAAGAATTTCTTCCCAATATCTCATCTGAATCTTCCCTCTTCCAGTTTAAAGCCATTGCCCCTTGTCCTATCACTCCATGCCCTTGTAAAAAGCCCCTCCCCAGCTTTCTTGTCGGCCCCTTTAGGTACTGGAAGGCCGCTATGATGTCTTCCTGGAGCCTTCTCTTCTCCAGGCTGAACAACCCCAACTCTCTCAGCCTGTCCTCACAGCAGAGGTGCTCCTATGAGATGAAGCTATGGATTCATCTTCCGCCCTTCAGTAATTGCCTTGTTCTGTTGCTAAAGCTGCTGCCATTCCTTCTGCCATCCTGTAGTTTTGCTTGCCCTTGGTTTTTCCTTGCAGCCGGTTTCAGGGGACAGCTCGTGCCAGCCGGATCGCTCGCGGCCGCGGGCCCACGTGGACGGGACCTCTCGGGCGGCTGGCTTTATGTGGGGCGATGGCGTGGGGATGTTCAGACCTCACTCAAGTCTATGGCAAAGCTCTGGTGGCTGGGGAAGCTGCCGTCACGTTTGAGACTTTGAATGTGTTGCCGAATTGTGAAAAAAGTCCTGGAAAGCCTGTTTATAAGAGAATAGAAGGAGAAATTTGGAAATCCAAAATAAGAAGTTTTATTTGCTTCCCATCCTGCAGTGAGGCATTCCCTGCAGTTATGTCGTTACTTGCCTGACCTAAATCTTTCACAGCACAAATTATCCTATGGCAATTCTCCTCTTTCATTTTAAAGCAAATTGAGCTGTGTGTTTTTTGAAGGAGACGCTTAAGGAAACTGTGAGCCAAGCACATAGGGAAATACTACATTTTAAACCTGCCAAATTGTCAGTGGGGCCCGCTTCGTTGTGGACCTGACACAGAGAGCCATCGAGGCTTGTTCTCGAAAGAAATATATGTGTAAGAAATCCTCTCTCCTTATGTCCCAGATGATGGGCTTATGTGGCTTTTAAGAGGCCGTGCCCTGGCCTGGGTCGTGAGTAAGATCTAGCAGGGACTGTGGGGGCCTGGCTGGCAGGCCGGGTCGGCCATGGCTGCGCGGCCCTGGGGTGGCTGTTCAGGCAGGGCATGGTGCTTGCTTGTGCTGCCTGAGCATCGGCCTGAGCCCCTCTAGCCCTCCATCAAAACCAAAAATATCCCGTAAAGTGGGATTTAAGAAGGCAGTCTCTAAAGCCTTGAGCTCCAGCATTACAAAAGCCCCCTGCCGAGTTTAGCAAGTGAGGCAGAAGGATACTTCCAGGCCTCCAGGGCCGCAGCGGCTAGCGGCCTTTTGTTTCAAATTACAGTTGGTTGAATGCAAAATTGGGAAGAGGCAAGGTCTAGTTCACACTTCAGTACATCATGTAAAGGGAAAACCTTGGCTGGAAGTGAAAGGGTCTGAATGGGACGGACATGGAACTTGCTGCATTTCATCCTGTGCAAGGGTGGGAATCCAGCTGTAGCGAGGACAGGGCCTTTAGGACATGCACAGCATTATTTTTCAGGAAATGCCGGAGCGAGAAACCTCATCTCCTCAGCTTTCTGAATAAAAAAATGTTCATATCAATAAACAAATATTTTTTTTCCCAGGCAAGGAGTGTGAGACTCTATGTGGAGAGCTAGCGATTCAGAGCCCCAGCGCTTTCTGAATAGCGATGAGCAAATAGGGCCTTCATTTCTCCGTGGAATTGTTGTGCATTCCCACGAGGAAACCCGAGTGTGCTTCTGGCCCTCCTGGTCTGCTGGGACACGCGTCTGCCTTGGCAGGACCCTGCCTGGGCCAAGGGCGTTGGGCATTTGGGTGGTCGCTTGTGGATCAAGACGCTGTTCTGCATGGTCTCTCCAATTAAACCTCTCCCTGGGCAACTGGTAGGACCTCAGCAGATTCCTTAAAATCTGAGCATCTTTATGATGTTAGGAAGACACTATATATAATACATTAAGGGGCAATTGGGGGGGTATATACATACACACATAAACATACATACAATGTTTCAAAAAAATTCTATGAGAAGGCAGCAGTTTATAATTAGTTCCTTTTGATCTTCAATAAGATAAGATGCAACTGAAAAGGAACTTGCTTGGTTCCAAAGAGGCAATTTGCTCATTGATTTCATTAAATTTTTTATCATTAAGCAATGAGTTAATGGTGCTTACTTAAAAAAAATATTCGCAATTACCAGGCTGTATGGTGAATGTTTTTGGAGCCTGAATTACTGTAATATACAAGAAGTGGCAATATGCTGAAGCTGGGCACTCATTAGTATGGGAAATATTTGAAAATAATGCTCTGGAAAAAATCTGCAAAGGTTCTGATCCAGCTCTAAGTTTCAAATGCTTCTAAAGTGAAAACATTTGGATTAAGGCAGGGTGGAAAGTGATTTTCTTTCTTTTTTCTGCTCCACCCTGAACTTAATGTATTTCTAAAAATATTTTTTCCTCTTCTACAAAAAGATAAAGTAAAAATTCCTCAGGTTTGATAGGGGAAGCAATTGCTACATAAAATACAGAGGTAAAAACTATAGGGATGCTGATTGGGTCCCCTGTGAACTGGGAGCTGGGAGCAGGTGACCATGAAAAGCAGCAGACCTGAGCATCCCTCCAATGAGCCCGTTGTCTGATCACTCAGAAACGCAGCCCCCTCGCCTCCCTCCTGGGGCATCCTTCCACCAGAAATGTTGATCGGGGCTTTGGTGACTCTCAACGTAGCGGAAAATCACTGTATTTCTCTGAGGTACTGAGGGGCCTGAGGATTAACCCTCCTAGTGCAGGGTTGGTGGCATGCAGGCATGTGCATCGCCTTTTGCTCCCTCCTTTCCAACTATGCTGATCTGTCTGCCAGAGGTGGAAGCCCCTTCTGATGCACTTTTACTGGGGCGATGCTGTAGCTCTTATCATGTTACTGTGATAGTGCTCATTTAGCATCTCCCTAGGCAGCACGCCGGCTGTCCCCCCAGTTTCAAGCCCCTTGCTTTACCCCCTGATGTGGGTGAGGATGCTACCGTGGTGCACATTGGTGGCAGATCCATTGATAAAACCCAGGAGCTGCTGTCTCTCCAGGCTGCGCATGTAGCGATACAGACGGCTCAGGTGGAGAGTGCGTACTGTGCCAGGGATGACCACGGTTTGTTTTCTTCCCTTCTCCCATCCAGAGTACAAGAAGAAGTACGGGGAGGAGCACGGCTCATGCCAGGCAGGGATTGCAGGCTTCTTCACTGAGGTGAGCAGGGGTGCATGCATGGAAGGGATGGGATTGGTGAGCAGCTTTCCTACTGCATGTCCCAGGAGGGGAGCCCCGAACATGGCTCGGACAGCCCCGAACACGGCTGGGCACTGAGCATGGTCCCTTCCTGCCAGCAAACACCCTCCTGCCTCATCTGGCCTCCCAGGCGCCTGCGTCTTGCACAGCACCTGCCCAGTTGTTTGTCTGTAGATGTATGTGTCTCTCAAGCTCTGTGGACATGAATGAATGAAATTACTCTGGGAAACATCCTCAGGGAATATTTTTGTGGTGTACATCCCAAAACTTGCATAGAGATGTTTCTGTGTCTAACATTAACGCTTGACTTTAAGTGATGATGTAAAAACAGTCCTCCCTGAACAGTTTTGTTTGTGTATGTGTGCACGTGGGTATATGTATCTATGTGAATATATGTATACACATGCACATACGTATACATCCATAAGATAACCCCTTTTTTTTTCAGTTCTGCTTCAGTTATTTATTGCAAAAAGATGGAGAAAAACTAGCATGGTAAAATACATGCTCCAGAGCTGTTCTGAATATTGGCCCGTATTCTTTCCTGGGCAAAAATCTGTCAACCGTGTTTTAGTTATGTCAAGGATGAATTTTTTCCCTTATGTATGTATTGATTTTGTTTTGGGAATGTGTCAGGGTTGGGGTTTTTTTTTTGTGTTTTGTTTTGTTTTTGTTTTTTTTTTAAGGGAAAAAAAAAGCTATTTCAGTGTCAGGCTCCTTGTTACTGTCATGTCAAGTATATACTCACTCCTAATTATATATGCCCTGGTCTGTGGAATTTGTTGTCCAGGCTGATATAAGCAAAATAAAGGTGTGCTCTCTGAAATGGCAGAAGGTGATTTCCGAGTAAACTGGGATGGCAGGCGATGTTGCCAGAGTGGCACTGACTGATAACTGGATGTTCAGCCAGCAGCAGCTGTTTCCTGGCTCGTCCGCTCTCCCCAGCCTGTTTCTGTTCCCATGCTTTAAATCCTCCTTTGCTGCTCTAGTTCAAAAGATATCTTTGAACTTTCGTTGCTTCAGCCCTGCTTCAGATGGCAGCTCACTGAGCAGGAAACGCAGATAAATAGCTTTTTGGGTCAAACAGGCAAGCCCCTACCGTATGTTCAGCACAGCTGATGGTAGTCATTCCTGCCGGTAAATGATCCCTTGACCTCAAGGGCATGGACCCTCCCAAGGAAAAAAACTGTTGCCAAGCATGTCCTGCTCTTTGGTTGAGTTTGCAGTCCTGTCCCTGTAAGTCTTATTAGGAAAATCCCTTGTTTAACAGCTCCCTCCAATTGGGACTGGTCACACAAAGGGATTCCGGGCGTGGGAGCATTTTCCCGCAAGGATGGAGTCCACCCGTGGCTTTGCATTGAACAGAGATGTGAGGCAAAGCAGCTGTCCTTGTGTCTCCTTCAGGGATGGAGAACTTACCTAGGCTTAATGCTGCCCAGGCTTAATTTGGTCCCTTGCTGGAGGTATTTAAAACCGCAGCCACGAATAAGGTTTCCCTGCAAGGATGCGGCATGCTTTGGGGCAACATTTTCTCAATGTCTCTTGCATGCAAAAATGTACCTTCGATTTTGATTCAAAAGCATTATCCATGAATATCTGCCTTTGGATGCTGGATCAAACTTTGCCTGATTTCTAGTCCTTTAAAATATTGAATCGTGCCAGGTGTCTGTAATGAACTATAGCCAGGTTGTGCCTTGAAGAGCGGAGTGTATCTGATGACAGAGCAAGGCAAAATATTCCACCCATGACGTAACCCACACCCTGCTTCTCGAGTGCATGGCAGCTCTTTAGCTTCATAGTTGTAAAATCAAAATCCTTTGTGCTGTATCCTTCATGATTGGTTGGTATAGCACGTCAGCCAGCATCGGGGCACGGTCTGTAGCTGAGTGGTGGGTCTGGGTGGGCTGGGGTGCTTCTGTCACTTGATGAAGGTCTTCTTCTGGAGGATGGTTGGGAAGGGCAGCAAGTGGAGAGAGATTTTCAGGAGGACTATGTTAGCAGGGGTAAGTTTGATGGGTAGTAAGGCTGAGGAAGGTCTTCTGCTGAAGTGCAGAACTGCTGAGCAGAAGTGGGCCATGAAAGGAGACTGTATGGCTGTAGGGTGTGTGCAGTGACCTCCATGTTTGGGAAGAAGGATACTCTCTACATGCACACAGAATGGAGATTGTTATAGGTGGACTTATAATTGGTATGTTAATATCATGTCCCTTCTCCATTACTTTGTAAAGCATGAACTTTTGTCCAGTTTTGATTGTTACTTATTTTTTTCCCCCATCCTTTCTCTCACACCCTTCTGTTTTTCCTGTTGTAGGAGCTGGTCATCATGGGGGCACCAGGATCTTATTATTGGACAGGAACTGTCAAAGTACTGAATCTCACTGACAACATGTATTACAAGCTGAATGATGATGCGGTGATAGCCAGGCGGTACACGTACCTTGGTAAGCAGCTCTCTGGTGCTCACTGTGAGAATAGGTCAGTCCAACAACTTATTTCAGGTCTTTGCTATAAAGTTGATACTGATTTGTTTTGGTGATGTGGAGTATTTTTATGAAACGCGTGAGAGGAAGAACATCTGAATTAAAGAGTTACTTACCTGGAAAGAAATAGAAGCAAAGAAGTGGCTAAAATATTCCATTTTTGTTTGCTTGTTTTAAAAAACACTTTGCTATAATTTTTTCGACTAATACAGAAAATGCATTTCAACTGAAAAGCAAGTTGGATTGTAGTGGGCCTCCTCCTTCCTGCCTTTGCCCCGTCACGGACAAATTATTTGCAATCGGTCAGGCTGCGTGTCTGCTTACACCTGTCTTTAAAATGGGTACAACTCGTAATTACAGAATGTATATTGCAGATACAAATTTAGTTCAACAAAAATAGCACCATATAAGCGAGTCATTGGCTACAGAAGGAGGTTGTGAAAGGACTGGCTATAGGTTTGAGTACATCTTTAACTCAGTTGGTTTTACTTGCTCTAAACCCAGCTAATGTCCCTAAAATACTTAATCCAAAGGCTTCCACCTAATCCCCAGTGCCTAAGACTGTTGACACCTAGAAGGCATTTCAAACAGTCAGTAGTTTGATATTCTTTGACTAAAGACTTGCACTGGCCTCTCATTTTCCCCTTAACCTTTAGCCTTTAAAAAAAATACCACTTGGAAGGTACTGCTTGGTGATAGCTAAATGAGGAGTGTGTATATATATTTGAGGACATAAGTAGGTTTTGCCACTGATAGACCTGAATTATAGTCTTTATCATGTAGTCAAGAGCCTCATAATTTACATCAGAAGAGCAAGGCAAATACAAGACAGCCTTAGAAGGAAAGCACTCTACTCATCTTTAGTTATTATATAGCATTTTAATATATCAAATAAGACTGAATCTTTGATCTCCTCCTTTCAAATACACTGTTTCTTTCTTTGATCTATCCTCCCATATTTCTTCTTGCCTAAACAAAAATCTTTTAAAGTCATTAACTTCTCTGACCTCTCTGCCTACTGTCCTCCACTCTCCCCCCCTACTAAAAAGGCACATAATTTTCCAAGCCTTCCTGGGCAGTGATTTTAGCCAAAGGAGGATGCTTCTGTCTGGTCGATGTGGGACTGTTGCTCTTTGATGTGATACTTTCTCTGCAGTTATGTGGTCTCTTTGCTCTGTTTGTATGTGCCTGTTCCTATTTTACTGCTTTGCTTTCTTACCTGCTTCGTGGGTTGCTCGCCCAGCTCCACACACACCTTTCTTCTCTCAGCTTTCGGAAGAGTACCCGAGGGCATACTGTCACCTCCCACCGCCGTGTGTTTTTGAGTGGAATATTGGTGTGTCCTGAGCAGAATGGTTGTTGAACACGAACAATGTGCTGCCCAGGAGGAGCAGTGAAACTCGATGAGTGTGATCCAGTAGGCTGACCCATTTCTCAGGCTCTTCCTTTTCATGACTATTTGTTTATTTGTTTCCTCTCTCCTCTCCCACCCCACCCTATCTCCCGCTCAGGATATGCGGTGACAGCAGGTCATTTCTCTCAGCCGACTACCACGGACATTGTAGGAGGAGCTCCCCAGGATGGAGGCATCGGAAAGGTGCGGCTTTTTGTCAAACAATAATGTGATCGGATGCAACGGGGCAAGGAAGGTAATACTGATACAGTTCTCACACGTCTGAGAAGCCAAGAGATTTTTGCCTACAAGGTAGTTTTGGAGCACTGAGCAGGGGAGAGGTGAGGTAGTTTGATGAAGTCAGCAAATTTTCTTGACCTGTCCCTCCTGGTGCCTCACATCTCTCGCCCTTTCCTCTCTCTCCCACCCAATCCTTGCAGTGGTTATTTTAATGAGACAAAGGCAACATTTCTTTCACACTGCTTTTGTTTAGGATTTGTAACATATAGGTATCACTTAAACCTTGTCTGGAAATGAAAAAACTTGGAAAAGAGCATTTGTGTCCTGCTTGTTTTCTTCATGCATTTGACTATTTCAGTATTTACTCTAGGGTAGCGTCTCTAATAGCATGAAAAGACGTTTACTAGGCGATTTGATGTCCCTCTTAAAACTTCATAACACATTGCTGTTTAGTGGATTAGAATCTGGGTTTCTGCCAGCTGTACTTAGAAATCTTGGTGATAGTCTCTTGAGAAGGAAAAAAAAAATGTTTTTCCTGTAGGCATACATATGTTTGGTGTCCCAAAGATGTAAGCCAGTGAATGGCTAGATGGAAATGGCTGGTGAGTTAGGTGTGCCTGGAGTCCCTGTGCCGAGTACCCGGCTGCTGTAGGGAGGGCCGTTTGAGGGTGAGCGCTGTGACCCTTATGCACTTCTGAACCAAAGGTGGAGAAGTGGGAATGGGGGGAGGGAAGGAGGGGGTGCAAAGGACCTGCCTTTGTCCCTCTTGCTTCAAAATCCAATCCTTTTGGGACCTACTGCCACCATGTGCTTGAGCAGAGATGTCTTGCAGCCCCCTTCCATCTTCTTCCCTCTGGCTCTTCTGCTCTGTAGAGACATGAGTTGTAGCTGAGTCATAACAATAAGGAGCGAGAGATCTCCACTACCAGGAACACTCTCCCTTGGTTTAGGCAGATTATTTTTGGTAGTAACCATGTCCCGGGGCGTAGCAGCACAAGTGGGGAAAATAGAATAAATGTAGAGGATGAAGTTGGTACATATACCTGATCTGGCATGACTAGGACATGTGGGATATAGTAGCAGGGCAGTTGCTACTGAGAGGACATGTGCATGGGAAAGACATAGTTTCCTTATCCCAGGTGCTCTATTATGGCTGCTTCGATGCACCTTCCTTCCAACTTGTTTTCTCTGTGGAACACATTTAATTTCTCTACAAGGAGGAGGGAAGAAACCAGCTGCTAACATGACATCCATGAGAAAGCAGCTGGCCCTGTAGTTTAAAGACTACTGCTCTAGTTGCAAAAGCTCCCGTTACTCTCCCCTGGGATGTGGGTAGCAGGAACGTGTGGCAAAGGAGCAGTAAGAGGTGTTGAGTACAGGGCATTACGCTGAGCAGTCTTGATGTGCTTTCCACACTCTCTAATAAGCTAATCCTTTCCACTTCCATGGGAGAAAGTGATTAGCATTGTCACACCCTTTTCACTGAAGGTAAAGCCAAGATTCTTAATGAGACTGAGTCATTTCTCCAAAGTCACCAAGAATGTCATTAGTTAAGACTGGCTTTGGAGTCGTGACACCTGGCAACGTGCTCTCGCTGCTGAACGTGCCACTGCAAAACCTAAGGAGTCCTTTACATCTAGTGCAATTGTCCGCAGTAAATCTGTGCTGTGTTCTCGGCTGAAAACAGCTTTGAACTCTGTCTCACTGCCTATTAATAACTCGCCACATATTCAGCTATGTCAAGTGCTTGGCTCCGCCACGTGGCCTTGAAAGTAAGGGATCCTCTGTCCTGCAAACTGCATGAGCACCTGCCAGGAGGGAGCCTGTCAAATGTTGGAGGAGTCTCAAAGGCTGACTTAGCCAGCCTTTCTGTCAAAGGGAGTCCCTTTCTACAGACCGTGCATTTTAGGTCTTAAATTTTGGTACAAGGTCTGTTACTGAACTCATGTCGATACTTTTATCCTCGAGACTTCCTGGTTAGACAGTTTCTTCTGTGGAAACAAGCAGTGAGTGGACTATAATTGAATAGTTTTCAGATTTACAGATTGTTTCAGACAGAAACAGTGCAGATGCCTTGGGTGGTCCGATTGGGATTTCTACTCTGACCTTTGCTAAAGCATAGTGAACTTTGCAGTGCAGTACGTGCAGGCTCGTGTCCTTGAGAAGGGAAGGCTGGAGAAGGGGAGGGGAGCAGGATTATGCCTTCTCAGCCTTTTGCCCTACTCGTTTCCAGGCAATCTCCTGATGCCACTTGTTTGAGAGTTGGAAAGTTCCTTTACTAGGTGCTTTTAAATACTCACATGTGCACATACATGTGCACCAAAAAAGTAGGCAACAAGATACTGTTCAGGCATTTCTTGTTATAAGAAGCCTGTGATTCATCAGGAAGATGGGGAACTCTGTATTTTGTCTTTTAAAAGAAGACTGAGCAATAAACTGGTCATGAAATTGGATCTTGGCAATAGCCATGGCCATGATCGTGATTTAGATATTATGTAGAAAGCACCAATGCTGTACCATTATGTATGTGCTTCATAGTTAGTATTGGTTCACTTTTTTCTTTTTTCATTTTTCAGGTTTATATTTTCAGAACAGACAGACGATCAGGCTCTCTAATAAAGATTTTTCAGGCTTCAGGAAAAAAGGTGAGCTTTTATGTACGCGTGTTTTGTTTTAAGGGGTAGAGAAGGGGAAAACAATGGCAGGATCTTCTCAGAGCATCGTTTTCATTCCACTGCTTCATGAGTTGTCAAGCAAATTCTGTTTCTCCTTATCCCCCTAGAAGAGCTAAACCTATTGTACAGACTAGCTGTATGCCCTTTCTCCTGTAGCAGTCACTACTGCAATGTCTGGTCAATGCCAACGTGACTGAAATTAAAGGTCTTGCCAAAAATTGTACTAGTGGTTCTCTTTAGCCTTACGCAGCTGTAGCAGCACCTTCTGAGAGGTGGGACGTGGGGTGCCAAGTGAGTCTAGACACAGAGATTTCCTCTCAGTAGATGTTACTGGGCGAGGTGGGTAGCCTGGAGCTTAGTTTAGTACACAAAACCCCAATCTCTTTTTCTGTGTCCTGCTGTGACAGGGAGGATATTGGAGTTATGCTGCTTTGTGGAGGAGCAGCTTCATTGCCTCAGGAGATGATGATTGTCCCCTTCCTACCGTGAATCAGTCCTGGTGTTTTGGAACTGAACCACATTCCCCCCCCACCCCTGCCATGAAATTTAGTGAATGCTAGTGAGATCCAGCTCCCTCCATGTGGTATTGTGTTTGAGTGAGGAACAGCTTGTGTTCTTCACTGCAGGCTTGCTGGAGATGTGTTGCAGAGGAAACTAAGTGGACAGTGTGTCTAACTATAAGTAACAACAAAAAGATGTCTTATTTGGGAATAACACGGTCAGGAAAGGATACTCCTTGCCTGGGGTTGCCTGTGTTCTCCTGGAAGGAGAGGAAATACAGAAGGAAAAGGTTACTGGTGGCTTCTGGCTCTAGGAAGACCTGCCACCCTCAGAAGGATCTAAAGTGTTTGACTGCATCATCAAATTGGGAGTGTTAGCATGTTTTGTTATTTTTTCCCAACAAAACACAGTTGCAGTCTTTAAAGACATGCCTGGAATAGGGGAAAACTGCAAGGATGTGTAGGTGGCTGGTGTGACGTGTATTTTAGGGCCTCTCCAAAATTTGGCTTTCTCTGCACTAGCAGAATTGCAGACATCTTGAAAGGAAAGGACCTCCCAGTTCATCCAGGGCATCTCCTGTGTTTGATTGCTTCCTGTTCATTTCTTTCCCTGTTGACTTTTAAATGTCCCTAAGGATGTGCTCCTGGAGAACTATTCCCCAGCCTAATAAACAGAGCTATCGGGAAGTTTCCAGGTCTCAGCCAAAGACTTTCCTTTTTCAATTGAATTGTGTTGTTCTTATATGTAACTTAACTAATCAAGTATTTACATCTTCAAGTACTTCTAGGCTGTCATCTCCTCCTTCCCCTTAGCATCTGTCTTCTACAAATTCTCTCAAATCCAAATGAGAATTTTATTTTAAAGAGAAGGCTGTCCTAAATGGTTTGTGATTGAAATATAACCAGACATGCTCAGCAGTGAGCACTGCCTGGAAATCAGCTCTCACAAAATGCTGCGTCCTTCCCAGTGGTGTGAAAGTTCATTGCTCTGACATTCTTGTTAGACAGACGTTAAAAACAGGCCAGTTTCTTCCTTCCTTTTTTTATTGCTGGAGGCTGAACTAGGAAATCAAATGCAGACAAGAAAAAAGAAAACGCAGTGCCTTGTTACAGATGTTAAGTGCACAAACTTCAGGTTCTCACAGCACCATGAACTCACCCACGCTGCAGACGTACCATGTCGCAGTTAAGTAAATAATAGCCTTGCCCTGAAAACTGCCTGAATACATAGTGAAATGCTTCTCATAACTTTCGCTCCTTACCCATGAGAAATTTGTTTTAAAACCTTAGTGGATTAAAAAAAAAATAAACAAATAAAAAATCCACAAGGGAACTTAAGCTACAAAATAACTGGAATCAAATGATGTTTGAGGTCTGACCTTAAACCCACACAAACACAAAAATCTGAGTTACAAACTGAAACTCTATCCTTAGCTCACCCCCCTGTATATATTTAGCAGCTTTTAAATCTTATGGACTGCAGAGAATAGTGTTGCTGCTGCCCGTCCCCTAGCATGCCCAGTAGCTCTGGTTCGTGTATCTAAACTTCTGGGGCATGGAAGGCAGCGGATCAGAGATCCACAATGAGGAATGTAAAAGCATGCAAGAAATGGGATTAATTCTTTTTAACCTAAATAATTATTTCTGTAACCTCAATTTTTCCTACTATGTAAACAGCTCTCAATTTCAAATAAGAAGTAGTATCTTCCCAGTTTTCCTGTGGAAGTTGCTTTCAATTTTGAGACTATGGTTTATCGTTGGTCTCAAAGAGTGTGCCTTGTGGTACCTTAGCAGAAGTGGATGAAAGAAGGGTGAAATATCATTCTTGCTTTTGGTTTCCTTTTTAAATGTGTTTTGAAATTCGTAGCGTGGGTGTCGGTTGGGAGATTCTTAGCGTTTAATGTTAACCCATATAAAAAATTATGTAATGAAATTAATGTATTTTTTAAATTAAAGCAATTGAGTTATGTCAAGCGACAATAACTGGAGATTGAAAGTGGCTTAGGTTTTTTGTGTATCAGCTGAAAAGCTTTTATTGAAAGTCTTCTTTCTGTGTCAACTCACCTGCCTGTACATGAGAGGAAAGGCTGTGATCAAAACCCACAACCAGTACTGCTATTTGAAGGTGACTGATACAAATAGAGCAGGGGAAGATAATCCACAATCAAGAGGTAATTTTAAATGCCTCTTTTAATGGATATCCTACCCCTTGCCTGTTTTTCTTTTTTCTTTTCTTTATTCTTTAAGGTATCCCCAGAAGATCTGTGGTACCCAACTTCAAGTCTCTTTAGGAGGTCTGGCACTGGGCATGAATAATCACTAGTCAGGTGTCCTGGTTTGGGAAACTTATTTCACCCTTTCCTGATTTTAAGCATTTGACAAGTGAAAGCTAGTCTGAGGAAGCTCTTTAAGTGTCTCACGTAAGCATGTCCCAGGTTATAAATTTTATTCTGTTGGTAAAACATCCAAGCTGATGCACTGTTACAGTAAAGTGTTTAATTCCTGCCAGAATTATCCTCTAAGCTTTCTCTGTAGGCGTGCTTGTGAGTGATAAAGCAGCAAGTCATCATTTGAAATTAAAAAAAAATAAAACACGCCTAAATGATTTCCTCCTGTGTGTGGGCAGATACTGAATGCTTTGTTGTGACTCGGCTTGGTTACAGATGGGCTCTTACTTTGGCTCCTCCTTATGTGCAGTTGATCTCAACTCTGATGGGTTGTCAGACCTGCTGGTCGGAGCACCTATGTTTTCTGAGATCAGAGATGAGGGTCAAGTCACAGTCTATATCAACAGAGGAAACGTGAGTATGTACGGGAGATGACTTGGTAAGGGATGAGGTCATGGGTCCGGACAAGGTAACGCTAATGTCCTTCCAGCACTGCCTGGTGAAACTTGATGTCTCAAGTAGTGGGGCTCTGGATGTCTCTAGCAGAGCATGAAGTCACGGAAAACTCATCTGGTATCATGGTTTCTCAAACACCAGCCCATGTTCATCACAGAGCTGTGAATCTTTCGAGGAGGTCTGGGAAAGTTTCTGGTTTTATGTTGAAACTTGGTGGTATTTGTGGCTTTATACAAATTTGATGCCAAAACCAAGTAAGAGTCAGCAGCTTTGACTGAGTTTCCTTTGGTTTTTGGGTGGTCACTAGGACCTACAATTCGAACACAGATCTCTGAGGATTTAGGAGACCTTGTGAAGAGAAACCAGAGGTTGAATGTGTGTTATCTTTAAATTATGCCCCATATATAGACTTCAGGGGAAGTTCTTATCAGCTAGTATTGTTGGATTTCACATGACCCAACAAGAGTCTTGGAAAAGTCTGAACTTCCTTGCATTGGCAAAACAAGATTGTTCTTATGTTGTATGTGTAGGAAAACAATGATTGTTTACATATTATTGAATATTTAATATGCAGGTCTCAAACCTGCTGTGTCAAAGGAGTTGTTACGGACTAAAATGAAATTGGTTTGCTTCACCAGTATTTGGTGAACTTTAATGTGTCGAGTTTGTTTATGCTAGACTTAACATTCACCTCAAGTCCTATAGGCAGCATGTGGGAGACTTCAGAATTGCTTTTAGTCTAATTTTATTTTCTATTTTCACTCCTCCTTTAAATGAGCTTTACTTTTTCAGTTTGATCCACAGGCTGTCCCACTTCTTACATTGCAATGTTGCCGCTGGGTCCTCAGGGTAGGGTCCAGAATGCCAAGCA